AGTCTCACGATCTTTCCTATTGGTTGTATTTACTTAAGCATATACTGGCTGAATTTTGCTTTGGATTTTACCATAGGCTTGTATCAGACTGGGGGCAATGATTTGAAATAGTCTAGTCACTGTGGAATATTCATTTTAGTGGGCTTGTCTCACACCAAGAAAACTGGAAGTTCTGCTATCACACCAGTCTAAAAGGTCGAGTGCATTAATGTCACCGAAGTGATAGAGCCAAATTTGAAACATCATTTGGGTCTCTATTGCAGTGTCATTGTCAGAATTTTGGAAGTCACAGAACAGCCTGTATCAGTGCAGCAATTGTGCAAACATCTTCAAAAGTACTGATTATGTGCAACAGAACAGTATTCTGGCTAGGCCATTAATCCTCTTCATGGCCTCTCCCCAAACACACACTGCTTTGCCTGATTTGAAGAAATGGTGTTAAGGCATTGCAGGTAGAGGTAAAACTATTTGAATGTCTGGTAGGATGTGATAATGGGGAAGTGATTTTATTTAGAAATTCATTAAATGACTAGTTTTATACAAATTAATGTTCAGGCTTCTCAGATATATTCTTTTTCTTCAGTTAGCTTCAGATGTTTGTTTTTTTTTCTAGAGTGGATGGACAAGTTGCATTTGTGATAAAGCTTTTTTTTCTTTCCTTTTCTCACTCTAAGACAGTGGTTGACTTTGCAAATTTTATGTACAAGTGCTTTTATTTCACATTAACATACTGCCTCAGAACACAGGAAAATTTCAGTGCTAGAACTGTGGGATCTGTTGACCCCTGTAAACCCAAGTTTCCACTAGACCAGATGGGATTATGACACGTACATCAAGGGAAGACCAGAGTTCAGGTGTTTGAGAATGCTCAGAGTTTCATTGTGTTTGAGAATGCTTTTCATGGCAATAGTGGTGCTTCACCAGGTTATTCTCTCTTCTGAGAGACAAAGCTAGGGCATGAGGGGAGGAATCTCATACATATCTTGGTATATAAATACTTTCCTTGCAGTTCCTGGGTTTTACCTTGTTGTCTTCTGTGTTTTCCCACTATCAGTGGGCATGCTGCTTTAAGCCTTTTTAAGATTAGCCTATGGAATGAGGCAGCATTTTCACTTCTTGAGAGGGAAATGGTGGTGTATTGGTTCTCACACCCCTAGGTTGTAATGTCCAACTGAGAAGTCTGCTTATAGTCAGAAAATTACTCCTTCCAACCAGTTAATTTCAGAAGTAGGGAAAGGTAATAGGCAAATGCGCTTTTTAATAGGTCTGTATTAACTGACAGATAGCTTTTTCTCATTTTTAACTATGGTCCTAGCTTCATCTTGAATCACAGACTTATTTAACAGGAAGAACAAACTAGCTGAGGGATGAGTAATGATTTCTGAAGAAATTAATTTCCTTTCTACCTGGTAGAAGTAACTTTTGTCTCTGGGGTGGAGTTGCATTTTCACTTAGGCTGTTTAAACTTGCCAGATTCCAGCAAAGACATGTGCTGCTTGGGTTTTTTTTGTATCAGGGGACAATGTTTTTGTCCTAGCTTGCTTTGCAGCCTCACTAACATGCCTGTTTGGGAAAGACAATAAAATTTTGTAATTCTCCATTTTGTTGCTTTTATACCTAGAAGCACAAGATTTTTATTAAGGTAACTTTCCTATAGCTAGCAAACAACACTGTTTTGGTAGATAACTGAATCCTTTTAGGCCTTTCATCTCTTGACTTCTGTGAATCCAAGTAGATTTTGTTCAGACAGTTGAGGTAAAGAGCAGTGTCCCTCAGTTTTGTATTTCTTTTTGTTTTGTGTTAGAGAGAGTACACAGCAGTGGTGCACTATGCCTGCCTCAGACAGCAATGTCTCCTCACCAGAAAGTGCCAGCCTTTTCCATTCCATGAGAGTCATGTATCTAATCTGCTACCTTTCTTGACCCTTATGTGTGCTGTATTATGTCTTTTTTTAAATGGAGTATAACGTGACAAAAACATACAAGGAAGCCTAATGCCCTGTGGTATTAATTTTCCTATCCTGTTCCTTATAACAGTCTGCAGGCTTTGTCTTACTCTTCCTCCATGACATGTTGCTTGTAGTGTACTACACTTTAATTTTTCTTACACAAGAGTTTTGAGGATGTGTTGGGTGTTAGTAAAGTTGGTGACTGAGACCCTTGCAGATCCCTAGCTCACAAGTGTTGAGATGAGTATGTTCACTCATGTAGGGACCCAGTAATCATTTTTGTGTGCTTTTTGCGTTGCAGTAGGAATGAATAATTAAACAGAGCTGTGTTTCTTCACACAAGCTTTTTGAAGGAGCAGTGAGGAAAAGAAAGTGGAAACTAATGGTTTATAACACAGAATTTGTTGCAGTTATTTCTGTGATGGTGAACTTGCTACTCTTGTTCCAAAAAGTTAATTTAGAACTTGTCTTGAATGGGCTTATGGATGTTCAAGTGGGTTGTGAACAAGTATCTCTTGAGGACATTTCCATTAATACTTTCTAAAATTTTAATTTTGATTTATTAATCTCAGGATTGTAGGGTTTGATTTATTAATCTCAGGATTGTAGGATTTCATTTTCAATGAAAAACGTATGGCTCCGAATTCTTTAAAACATTTATTTTGTGCATTAGTATTGCAAAGGAAAAAGGAGGAGCTGTGGAAGGACAAGGTTTCAAGAAGTAGGTTTTTTTTTGTTTGGTTTGGGGGTTTTCTTCCCCTCCTTCTGGTTACAAAAAGGTAATTGCTCAAGACGCCACTTTTTCCTAAACATTCAGCTTTACAAAAACTGCCAGAGCAGGTTTTGATAGCAATTGAGACTGCTTTCTTTGCTCTCCAACATAAGGTTATGAGTTATCCTCTAATTTTCCAGGAAGACTTAAATCTCTTATGTTGTTGATAAAGTACAGTATTGTGAAAGTATCTCTTTATAACAATTCTGATGGAGATCAAGGTCCTTTCTTCCATCAGGATGGACAGAGATCTTTTAAAAAAAGAGATTTTATTCTAGATATTTGTCAAAAAGATAACCATGAGCCAACACACTGCCTAAAACTTCTGTTCCAAATATAACTGACCACAAGCTAATAAAGGATGACTTCCTGTATTGGATGATAAATACTGGAATGTTCATGTGTGGTTTGTCCTGCTTTAAGATACTTGAAGTGAGAGATGGATCACAGAACCGGATAGTCTGTTCTAGATAGCACGGTGTAACTTTTGTGTTGAGGGATCGTTTCCTGTAGTGCTGATAGCCACATTATTCTGTTGTCCGTTAGCAATATGTCTTGAAACGTTCAGGCAAGTAGTTGAGACTTGGCTGCTTTGGTGTCCAGCTGGTTTGCTTCTTACCAAAATTTTGAGGATATTGCTGTGTCAGAAGTTATTCTGAAAGGTCTTTAAAGAATTTTCACTGCTGTTCTTCAACTGCAAGAGGAAATTTCACTCCGTCCAACTTCATTACCATTTCCTTCGGAAGAACATCTATAGGGCTGTGAATGAGCAAGCTATAACAAAACAAAAGACATCTGTGATTTTCCTCAGCCTCCCTGGTTTCTCACTTTCCATTGCTATTGCAAAGCCCTACCTAGCCTTTCTTCATTTTGATATACATCAAACAATCCTTTTGAGCCTGCTGCCCATCGATAAAGCAGCCAAATTGCAGCAGAGGTATTCTCATCAAGTACCTGGTAGATCTTCCCATTAGTAATAGAGGGAGAGCCACTGTGTCCTTGATTATTTGAGTCTCTCAATCAAAATGGGGAGATAGATATTGGGGGAGGAGTTATATCTTTCTCCCATTCCTTTACACTTTGTTTAAAACCTGCCAGCCCCTCTGAGTAATTCATCAATCTTGGAAGCATTGACCCTAGGTTTTGGATAGGGAAAATATTAAATGCTTAGCTTAAAAAGTAAAAGCAAAATCCCATACCCCACCAAAGAAGGACATCTGTTTCTAACTTCAGCTTTTTATTTTTTTATCTTTCATTTTTTTTGTTGGTAAATCTCCCAGACAACAGCAGTTCTGTAGAGAGTTTAAATATGAAGGAATGGCAGGACGGGCTAAGGGCACTTCTACCGAACATTAACATCAACTTTGGTGGACTGCCCAATGCTTCTTCCCCCTCCAACGCCAACCACAGTGTACCAACGTCCAACACTGCCACCACCGACAGCCTGAATTGGGACAGCCCTGGCAGCTGGATGGACCCCGCAATCATCACAGGTAACCGTTTCTCACTCCTTCAGCTCCACTGGCAAACCATCAAATGGGTATTTGGCACAAACTGATTTACATCTGGAAAAAAAGAAAAAAGAAAAAGTCAGTATGCGGTGGTCTCTTCCAGCTTCCATCCACAAAACCTCAAGGGTCCAGGAATTTTTGTGGAACCTCTAGGTATAACAGAGCGTCACTTAGGCCTTTGCGATGCATGCCCAGGACCTTTACAGGCAGTCAGGTGGATCAGTGCTTTCCTATAGGCTCAATCTATAAGGTGTCCCTTCTGCTGGATGGCATGTCCGGTATGTGCGTCGCAGGTCCTGAGGCACTGAAGGCAATCACTGGACTATTGTTATTTAAAAAGGGACGTACTCCACTTGTTTATAAAGCTCTCTTTTATAAGGCTGTCTGGTTGTGTTTCCCTGTTAGAGAGGCTGAAGCATGATTCAAGTAGGCAGAGTAAAAGGTGAAGCATGTACGTGCCAGCATACTGGCAGCTTGGTGTGGTAAGGTCACGTTGACAGGGATGCAGTTTTCAAGCAGAATGTTTGGTAGAAAAATGTGTGTTTTATGAAGAAGTGCTCTGAGGGTGAACTTTCTCCTATCTCGATTTAATGTTATGTGTTTTTGCGGCCAGGGTAATAATACGTAATAATTTAAAATGCATTTTCTGTACAAACTAATCATGTTTTTCATTGTTGCTTTTTGCTAGGTTAAATTGACCTCCTTCATGGTCGATTTATTGTTTCTCCTCTGACTTGCCTGTATCCCTGTTTTTTTCTTCTTTTCTTAGGTATCCCAGCCTCCACAGGAAACAGTTTAGACACCCTTCAAGATGACAATCCTCCACATTGGCTAAAATCTCTTCAGGCCCTCACAGAGGTGGACGGCCCCAGTGCAGCACCATCACAGACGCACCACAGTAACCCCTTCGGCACACAGATCCCTCTGCACAGAGCCAGTTGGAATCCCTACTCTCCTCCTTCAAACCCCACCAGCTTCCATTCCCCACCTCCAGGCTTTCAGACAGCCTTCAGACCCCCCAGTAAAACCCCCACAGATCTACTACAGAGCTCAGCGCTGGATCGTCATTAGGAAAGGAGGAAAAAGAAAAAAAAGAAAAATAAGACCCAAAACGTTAGAAATGCAGGAAGTGTCCCACCCTGACTCCTCCCCATGCCCACCTACTGTTCCCTGTCATATCTTTCTTTCTGAAGAATCCAGTTCCTGATCAAACTTCCCCCCCCAAATGCAATGCCATCACAGGGTCATGACCATTCTTTTTGTTAAGTTTCTGCAGAACCAGTGTTTGAAATACACTGTTTGAAATACTTTCTAACCATTCTAAGAAAAAAAAAAGAGAGAGAGAAAAATCAAAATGCAAGTCTCAATGCTTAAGGAGAATATTAGTGTCTTACGTCTTTTGCACATGAGTATTTCTGCCTAGTGGAAAAGTGTCAATCTGCAGCAGGGGGAAAAGTGCAATGCAGAATCAAATGCAAGAACATAAAAAAGATATTTAATTTAAATGAAATTACTGAAAATGTGGGGCAAGCAGTGACCCAGCATTTATTTTGCATTCAGTGTGGCACTACACAGGGAAATTGCTATGTTGGGGTTGGTTGGTTTTTGGTTGTTTTGTTTTTGTTTTGTTTTTTTTGAGCAGGGGATTTTATTGCATCAGTCAGAGTTTGACATGAAGTGTGTTGAAAGACAAAACACTTATAGGTATGAGTAACTGGCATGTTGCTAAAGAGTGGTTTAAAGAGGGGAGAATAAGATTTTTCTTTAATTTTGGCTTTAGATTTCAAGTAAACTTTAATGTTTTAAAAGTATTCACAGATTTAATACCTAGCGTATACATAATATAAGCAGCTGAAACACGAGTGATATTTACTTCAGTCTTTCTGTCTCCTCTGTCAGTCTCTCTTTTTTTTTTTTAAGAAAAAAAAGATTCACCTGTTTAGGGCACTCTGGGATAGCACTGCATTGGGGCCACATGATCACCATCAGGAGCAACCTCTGACCTCCTCTGCCTGCAGCTTTTACTTAACCCTGTAGTTTCTGGACGTTTGTGCAGTATTGAAAAGACAGGAAAAAAGAAAACAGATAAATAAACATGGTTATAACCTGACGCTAAAACTAAAACCAAGGAAATGTACCTCTTTCTTCAAAATTAAAACTAAAATCTTAAATAAAACAGAAAACTTGATGATGACTTCATGTTTGCTTTTTGGTTTTTTTAACCTTGGATTTTTAATTACTACATCTGGTAAAAAGTGTATGCCATTGCATGTTTGGGGTTTTCTTCTTATTCATCTAAACCAGAATTACTTTATCATTGGAAATACTGCTTTGTATGGTAACTTCTGTATTGAAGGGTAGAAAAAGCATAACACTAAATCTTTTAAAGGGGTTCTGTTGTCTTTGCTCATGGCAATAGCTAGAGGCAGTCTCTAAATGTTTTTGGTGGTATCCTTTTAAATCTGAAGCATGAAAATCTTGTTTATATTTTCTGAATTAAATTCCATGGCACTCAGGGTAGATAGATAGCATGCAATAATATGCCTGAAGATATGGCAGAGAATTTGTTATGACTCCCTGTGTTCATCAGCAGCCTTGCATAAAGTGTAAAATACTGTCACTGCACAACAGGGGATGAAGAGCTCTTAATGGACAGAAGGCCTCCAATAAGCTTTTATACTTGGAAGCAGACATATTGAAAACCTGCAGCCTTGTGGTGGTGCTGCTGATTGATGTAGCTTATGAGGGTGGCAGAGAGCCTGAAATTCTAAAGATGCCTATGCAGAAGGGTTTCTCACCTGGTGTGAGCTTCTTTGCTTCAGGCTGGCAGCCTTCTGAAAATGTTTGCTGCTGGCAGGGGCAAGGAAGGGAATTTCCACTGATGAACTGTGAACATCTAAACGGGGATGGGGTGGGGTGAGGAACTGTCCTTTCAGGAAGTGGGAACAAATCCTGAATCAGTCACTGGGCAGAGGAGCCAATTGTACAGTGTATTTTGTACAGTGAATCTGTACAAAGTGCTTCTAAATAACCTGTTATGCAGAATATCACTTGGTGACTACATGCTTTTGCTCTTCTCTCACTTGCGTTGCCATTTTAGTGCTGTATTTATTACTCTGTATTATGGGCCTGTATGTGTTGTTTCTGAACTGGCAGCATTGCTGCAGATTAGTCATGTGCCCTGGTTACTTGGAGGAATGTGCACAACCTTTGATGCCAGTGCTCCCCAAAAAGCAAACTGTTTTTGTCACCTGTAACTGCTGGTGGTGGAAAGAGAAGTGCTGTGGGCTGGAATGGCCTCATCTGTGGCAGAGCCTACTGCTGCCCCTGAACTGGGGCTGCAACCCAGCAGGAACTGTCTGCTGGAGGTGCTGGTGAAGATGTATTGGTTTGGGGGTTTTTTTGTGTCTCCTTCCACAGTTGCTAGATGTTTTTCCACCTTTAACATTTTGTTTTTGAAGGATGCCTTTCCTGACTGAAAATTAGCAAGGCTCCTAAAGTAGCTCCAACTGTCTATGTACCACAGCAATTCCTGAAGCTGCTGCCTTTTTCAGTATGTTACTTGTCCCTTTGTTGCAGTTTAGGAGGTGCTGTGGCAACCTTGTGCCCATGGTCTGCTGCCCCTGGAAACCAGGCTTTAGCTGCTTGGGAGATGCTTACTCCCTGCTGCCATGCAGCAGTTTGTGTGGTTGGCTACCAACAAACCCTTACCTTCAGAAAAAGGTTTGCAGCTACAGTGACTTTTTCTCTTTGTGGTCCTGCTTTCCCAAGAAAGACTTTTTGGTGGGTAACATTGGCATGACAACAGTGAAGTGTATCAGCAATCAGACTGATGTGTGTAGGGTGCAGCTTTTGTCACATTTAGCCTAGTTTTGTATACTGTCTTGATCTGCATCCCCTCAGTTGGGAACCAACCTGGTGTTGCACTCTGTTCAACTGTGTGGAGTTTACCTGCTTTTTTTCTCCCAAAGTTTTGGGTTTATTGGTGGGGGAGGAAGGTGGGGTTTTGTTTTGTCGGGGGTTTTAGGGGTTTGTTTTTGGTGTGGGTGTTTTTTTGATTTTTTTTTTTTTTATTAATTGATGGTGTTTTTCTATAACAAATTCTGTACAGAAACATTTATTGAAAAGAGAACATCCATGTGATCATCTTAGTTCATGGTCTGTTCTTTCTTACAGTATATGGGTACTTGCAGCTCTTTCATGTATTAAGCAAAGAACAGTGCTTGACTGAAAGGCTGTTGACCCAGGACTAGCAACGCATTTGGTAGATAATGTCTGGTGAAGATAAAGGATGAGCCAGACTCCTCTTCTAAAATGTGTATGAGTGTGTGCTGAGGGAAGGAAGGGATTTGTTGGCCATGAATGTGTTGGTAAAAGAAGCTGTGTGGCATTTTCAATAAATTTACAATTCAGGTATAGTAATTTGAGGATGAGCAGTGCTGGATTGATAGTAAAGGTTCCTGCCCTATGGTTTCCCCCTGCCCCCCCATCTTTTTAATATCTATCAAGAGAAGAATGCTGTTTTTCTAGATCACAGGAAGGAATAAAATGCCACCTTCTGGCTGAGGTGAGGAGCCATTGCATTAATTATTTTTTAATAACTTTCACTGCCTAGTTGGAAATCAAGTGGTAGCAGGTATGTGGCGTTGTAAATGCAGTGTCTTAACAGAGCTGATTTAATCACAATTAGAAAAAAAAAAGGGAGAAAGAAAACAGCTAAAAAAGGAAAAAAAAAAAAAGGTAAAATGTTGAAAAAAGAAAAGTTAAAAAAGTATTAAGGAGGGCCACTTGCAACTGGCACATGTGCCAGACTGATGACTTGAGCAGCAGTTAGTGGGAATGAGGGAAGGTCTGGATATCTGCTGAGCTGATCTCAGGTGAATTCACCCCCTGGCACCACCCTGCCTTCTGCAGCTCCTGAAATGCTGTTGCAGGGCTGCTGCTGGAGCAGGCATTTCAATGGTGTTGACTCACAACCGACTGGGGTCGAGCAGGACCTTCCTTGTCCCCTTTCGGGGATCTGCTGAGCTGAACTTTTGTTTTTCTTCTCATCCATCACAGACTCTGTTGTCCAATAATTTGCTTTTTTTTCCCTGAGATTCTCATTTAATCATAAACATTGAAGATGATGTGTTTTAGGGAAAATGGGGGATGGTTTTGGCTTTGTGTTTTTGTTTGTTCTATTTTGGTTCAGAGTTTTTTATAGTTTGGTAGAGCTGGTCATGCTGCTGTGGAGATTTCTGGCTTTTTTTCCTTCTGTTGGGAGGGAAAGGATCACACATCAGTTTCCATCCTTATGTTTGCAAGGGAGTTTAGAAAAATACACTTGAAAAGCTTGGAATTGCTTACTGTTCATCCCTCAGAACATGTGGAAGTTGCCTTAGTTGCAAAGGAGCTTGGCACTCTAGCAGACAAATCCAGTGCATGGCAAGTGTTGCATTGCCTGGGACTAATTCCCTCTGGAGAAGGCTGTTGTGCTGGAATAAAAATTCACTGTTCAGAACCTGAGGTGTGTCAAGAAACTGAGAGGTGGCGGGCAGAGTGCTTGAAGGGCTGGGGGACTGGGGTTGTCACCAGCCCTGCTTGAAGGGTCTGTAGGTACTTGTAACTTCTTGAGGGAGATTACCTCTCCTCCAGTCCAGCTGTTGGTGACATGAGTTTTCAGTGTGGCCAGAGCATGTACTATGTAAAGTGGTATTCAGCATGAATCTGTGCTTTGAGTGCTTGTTGCTTTACATCTCCAGCAGTGTGTGGCTGCACGGCCAGCTGTGGATGTGCTTTCCACTTCACTGGTGTATGGCCATCTGTTCAAGCTGAATGAAGATGCAGGAACTGTAAGAGCTTGTGCTCCTTCCTCTTTGCCCAACATTTTTTTCCTTCTTTAGGATGTTGAACTGATAGCCATGCCTAAAGATTCTTAGCTTTTTCATATATTTGTAGCTTTGTAGATTTTTAAGATACAGTTGTATTGTTTCTAGTACTTTTCCTGCCCTTTCTCACATTTTAGAATAACAAGCTAAACCTTCCTAACACATTCTTAAAATTCTGTTTAGTCTTATTCTTAAAAAGAGAATTTCTGACAAGAACATCTTGTTTTCCACCAGAGCTGGAGACATAACAAGAAATAGGGCAAAGAAACCCCTGGACCAACTCCAAGGGACTTGACCTAAGGGTGGGTTACTGGGGCAGCTGATCTCCTATTGAACATACTTGCTAGATAGACTAAGTAATTAACCTTATAAAAATTGTAGAGATCCTTTATCATGGGTGCGTATATTGCCATATCTGTGCACCTGAAAGCTTTCATTAAAGGATTGCTTTTTATCTAACCACTTTTAATA